TCTCACTAAATAATTTAAAATGTTCAATAGAGTTACGGGAATATCCATTCTAAAAAATAAATGGTAATTAAAGAAAATAAAGTGAATAAATAAGCATCCTATGACAATCTTCATTAGCACTTAAAGGGAGTACGGGTGGTAAACTACTCACAACCATTTTACTAATCGGGATCTGAATTGTAGTTTTATTGATCTGAAATGGTTAATGAAATGGTGAGCGACACCAACCCAATAAGAATATCACACTAATCATAAATACGGAAAACTAAAAATTGATAAAAATCAGAAAAATAACTAATGGAGCACTTATTTTAATTAAATACATTTAACTTAAAGACGTTTGTTTGATACTTACTGTTACGTATTTTCAAAAAAATAATATATAAACACTCATATACATACCACTTTTCATTTTCATGCATAAGAGAACAAGTGACGACAATTTTTCTTTCTTACTTAGTTACTTACTAGTACCCTTGGGGTCCATAGGGATGTCTCCCTACTCGTGAACTAAATATCCAATTTTAACAATTAATTGATCGTCTCCATACTCCGTCCAGTAATGGGTACCAAACATTCCATCGCCTCGATACCCCGTCCGATATAAGAGTGAACCATATCTCCCAAACTTTTCCGGTATAAAATTTCACAACCTCATTCGACTGAGGTGATATCCACGGTAGGGTTCTCCAGGTACCGGGCCCGTCCACTCTTTCTTTGCGTACCCAATAAGTCTTTCGCATAAAAACTTTCATCAAGCAAATAATCAACAAACACGTACCAATATCTCATATTATATTTCTAGATCAATTAAACGATATTTATGCAAATAATATAACTTATCATAATAAGGGATTGAGTAATCAAATAACCGAGTAAACCAAATAAATCGATAAGACCATTGATACTATAAAGTTAAGAACATGCACAATACTATAACAAACAAGTAGAACAGTACAGAAAAATAAACATAAAATCAGGATAATTGTGAACTAACTAGTTCTGCCTCCACTAGTGACCTGTAATTATTTTTAGGATTTTCTAAATTTTCACAAAATACAAAAATTATACATATTT